GGGTGTAATTGATTTATTAAACAATTATTGTAATAGATATATAGTTTTTGATTACCAATTATAGAATAAAAAATTTTCCTCTCTAGAACTAGGTTTTTGAGAAGAACGCAAGGATAAAGAAAATAATGCCAACCTCTAAGCTAGCCCTTGAAGGTTCCATGTCCACTACCATGAGTGGCTAAATCATTCTCTTGGGGCTAGAAATGGCCCCTATGCTTACTTCTCAAACTTAGCTTTTATGTATTTTTAGGGATTTTAGTTGTAATGAATATTTTGACCATGAATAAATGTATATCTTGTAATCTCTACTTGATTTGTATGATTTAATACTTTTAATTGATCATTTGGCTTTAGTCATATGTCTATATATGCTAGAATTGATGTTCATCTATTTTTCTCTAGATTTAAAGGAATTGATGCATGTCTATGTGTGTTGATGATGTTAATCTAGTGATGGTCAAGGCATAGTACTTAATTGAACACTCTTGAGATTTATTTGGTGGTTCACACTTGTTTCTTTATGAATTGTATCACATCTCTAGTTTAATTAGTTTAATTTCATGTCTCTACTCTAGTGTAGTGTAATTGCTTTAAATTCTTAGGTAGGTGAATAATCCATGCTTGTTTCTTGGTGTTCCATACTTGTGAATGCAAATAGTGTATTTCTCTAGATATTTGTGTGTGAATTAATTGTGATTTAATTGAATGAATTTTGGTCTCATTTGATAGATTGTGCTATTCATTTAATTGACTAGACAAACTATACTTATTTGTCTTCCATGCTTAGTTTCAATTAATGTCACACACACCTAAGTTACAATTTAAATTTCCCCATTAATGTATAATTGCTAGTGTTTGATGAAGTGAAGCTTAGTGGTGTCTCTATGCCCCAAGACCTCTCTCCTATATATTTTCCCTACTTTCTAGATTACTTTTCTTGTTTGCTCTAATCTTTAATTGCATTGTAGTTTAATTAAACAAACCACCAATCATCTTTGATTACTCGACCTACTAATCCGACATTAATTTCCGTCACAAACACACCTCCGATCCATTGGGACGATCCCTACTCACTCTTGCTATTTTTTTAGTTGGAAGTGGTGGTGGCATTTTACAAATTTAAACTTGGCCACATTTTATCCTATAGTAATAAAATGCCACTACCACTTCCAACTAAATAATTTTTAGTTTCAAAAAACCCCTCGAGGTTTGGTTTATCTATGGCCCAAGGTACCTCCAAAAGGGGTTGATGTGCTTAGTGAGCTTTGCTCGGAAAGATCACCCAAAAAAAAAAAAAATCTCTATAAAATAAATTATTTCTTTTGGTAGGACGAGAAAAAAAAAAAAGTTGTTTGTATTGAATAAATTATCTACTTCGACACAATTTTTTTTTTTTTTTTTTTTAAAAAAAAGTATGGCTCAAGAAAAAAGGACTGGGTTGAATTAACGAGTTCGGTGTGTGTGACTTGTGTTGATGATGCAAGTGTTTTGGGCCAGCCATTTGCATTGCATTGCATTTTCATTCCAAGTACATGAAATTGTATTAATGACATTGATTAGATTGATATGTGATTTGAATGCTATAAAATTTCCCTTAATATAATCCCAGTTTCTCTAAATCCCCGATGTGTGTTGTGTGGCTCAAGGAAGTCTAAAGTTGGTGCCTCAAATATTTTATACTGAGCCTCTGTGCTCACTCCTTCCATTAATATTTTTCAGGTCACGGCAAGGATGTAATTGACAATGGACCTTCACAAGTGTAGGTAGAGTTGACGAAAGCATCCTTTTGAAAGTTTTGTAACCAATGTTTATTGACTTCAATTCTTTTGTAAAGATGACCTTAAGGGTCTTAAACTTGTAATCTTATTCTTTTGGGGTTATATTATGTATATTTTGGACAATGACATAATGTGCTATTTTGACCATGGACGGAAAAACGAGTTATGTATATAAATGCACGATTCTGACTACGTAATTCAAATGAACGGGGATTTAGTAGGGTGGGTGATTGAATGATTTTGCATACTCATGTTTATCATTGTAATGGGAACTTTGTAAATCATGTATATATCATCTTTACGTAGGTTGGGAAGCACCATAATGAACTTTCATGGGACCTATGAGGTGTCCTTAACCCTTTGCACTCAAATTAGGCTTTTCTGGGCTATTTTTCTCATTCTGTCCATTTTGAACCAGTTCAACCCCCTTGAACTTGTTCAAGAGTGAAATTAGATTCCCAACGTGGGTACACTACCCATGTTGAACAGGTTCAAGTTCCCCAAAATTAGGTTGTCTTGGCAAACTTTAATTTTGGACCCCAACTTCGAGTAATCATAACTCATTCATCTTAAATCCAAATGAGGTCATTCTTAAGCCTAAATTGAATAATTTTTCGTTAGCTTTCCAATGGTGCCAACCTAATTCTTAGATTACATCTACTCTGAGAGTTATAGTTATTTTAGTGAAGCAATGTCGAGAAATCCTCCAAACTGAGGAGGGGTATTTGTGGGGAACCATTATTAATTCTCATAGAACCTCTTAGAATGTCATGGAGTGACTAAAATGGATTGTATACACCTCATTTGACTCACTTAGAGTCATATTACATCCCCTTTGATATAAATTGACCATTTTACCCTTGTGTGACCTTGGGTCCGATTATGACCCGATTAGCGATTTGGATCCCGAATTTGGGTCTTGAGAATTCATGCTACCATTTGTTAGACACATGCTCAAATTGAAACTATTTTGAGTTTATTATTCTCTCTTCTCTTTCCTGCCCATACCCACAAAATCCCAAATCCGGGAAGGCACTCTTTATACCAGTCTAATGGTGTATAATCATCCTCAATCTCATAGCAACCAGACATGTGTGTCTTGTCCCCCTCCTTTAAAATAACCCTAGAAATACAGAAACTATTCGATTTTGTAGTCGGTCAACCCGATTCCATTAAAAACCCAAATCCGGGAAGGCACTCTTTATACCAGTCTAATGGTGTATAATCATCCTCAACCTCACAGCAACCAGACATGTGTGTCTAGTCCCCCTCCTTTAAAATAACCCTAGAAATACAGAAACTATTCGATTTTCAGGCCGTACAATCATGTTAGCTTTCTGGGTCCCCACTTTCGAACAGAGGAACAGTTAGTCTCTCTCCCTATATATATTGTATATGTATAATATTGTTTATACATCTCTGTCTGCACGCACTTAGACATTGACTATGTCATTTACTTCTGTCAATTGCTCATTTGTTTAACACAAGTTTCATTATATTAACTTTTATTTTATTTTTTAAGTACTGTTGTCTGAAAGAAGTATTGTTCTTTTTAATGAAATATTGTTTGGGTGGTAATTAATTCTTTTAATTTATTATAAATTGGGCTTGATGCAATGTCTTCCCTGTTTCGACCGAACAGAACAAAGAATAAACAAAGAGAGGTTTTTTTTTTTTTTTTCGCAATTTAACAATTGAAATCGAATTTTCTGTGAAAATATTTTTATATAACCTGATATGGGTTGAAAGAACAAATAGTTTCAAATGCTACTGGAAATGAATTAGGTTTGTTCACTTTCTTTTTTATACTTAAATTACACACATCAATGCCTCATTGAGGGGACTCGAACCCTCAACTGTGGAAGGAAGAAATACCAATTGGGCTATTACAGAATGGTGAAGCAAATGAAGTTACCGAACCTCGTTCTTTGGCAACTACGGATCCTTTCTAACCATCTTGTTGGTTGAGGGTTAAAGCACGCAAAATTTAATATCTTGAAAATAATCAGTAACTAGTTCCAATTATGTTATATTTATTTCTTTATATGAAACCATGAAGTTGTTATTATTTGAATTTATTATAGTGTTGCCAGCAATGTTTTCCTGGCTTCATGCTGAATGATGGGAGTCTCAATCAGAGCTTAGGGTTATGCATGAGCTACAGCTGATTCAATGTTAATTGGAAATTAGTATAAATAACCTAACTTCCAGATTGATGGTTCATTAAGTTTAGATTTGTCGATTATTCAAGTACTTAAGTTACACTTCTTGAAGAGTTTTTCATCCCAAAGAATAATTTGCACGCAGCCGCTTAAGTGATGAACATCCATATGTTGTGTGATAGTCAATGTGAATGTGTGTTAGGCTCACTTTTGGAGGGAAGTCTTTCTACTACACATAAGGGATCGTGTTGATAACATAATTACTTAACATCCTTTAGTTGTTTATGCTTTGGTCTTTTAAGTGTTGTTTGTGTATTTTTTATTTTCTGTTTTTGCTGATTTTTTTTTTTTAAAAGCAAATTGAAGGAAGAATGATGCTCTTGTTGTTTAGAAACTAAAACCTTTTCAGTGTAATCCTCAGAAAAAAAATATGTACGCTTTGTTTTCTGCCGAGTAATTGTGTTGTGTTGAAGGCTTTAGGGAAGGCAATCAGTTGAATTAATATGCTCATCATTTGTCTATCACCTTGTCTATTTGGTAATGAATTTTCGTCAAAGTTATTCCAATAAAAGAAGCCTTAAAATTGGTGGGGAAAATAAATTTTGTTCCGGAAATTTTTGTAAGTACCACCATTGTGAGCCACATTCTTATGCTTTGGCTATTATTTTTGTATGAAGACATTACAAGAAAAATGACTTTTTACTATGGTGAAAAAGGCTTTCTACCACAATTTTGAACCGTGGTAGAAACAACCGTGATAGAAAGTCAAGACTTTCTACCACGGTTTTGTACCATGGTAGAAAGTCTATTTTCAACCACGGTTCCACATCGTGGTAGAAAGTCGTTTTTTCTACCACGGTTCTTCACCGTGGTAGAAAGTCGTTCTTTTTACCACGGTTTTGCACCGTGGCAGGTAGAAAGTGTACGTTATGTAATTTTAAAATAAAAAAAATAGTGCAGCCCTCACGAGGCCTTTTTTTTTTTTTTTGGCCTACTACTAGCCTTACAAGGACTCTAGAAACTTACACTAAATAAATTAAAAATAGCATCATAACCAAAATAACTTACAACTAACCAATAACATTATATATATATATATATATATATATATAACACCAATTCCAAATCATTGTTTTATACAAAAATTAACCATATACAAATTTCTAACTTCTTATGCCATACCAAAATAAAACAAAAATTCTTATATCTACTTGCTCTGTTTTAGTCTCTCTCTTCCATTACATATATGCAACTTCTTTATGAGCCATACAAAAAATATAACGGCAACAAAAAAAGTAACGGCAATCGCAATCCTAGCTTTGACCTACAAAGATGTAATAGTTGAAGTCAGAGAATATAAAGCAAGTTGTAAAGTTGTCAAAATTAAACCAAACAAAGCAAGCATTATAATAAAGGTACATTGAAAGATCTACTCTTCATATTAACTCAATATCTTGGATCATTGACATCCCGTCACCAAAAGAAATCATGACACTATATTCAAACATTTGAAATGAAGAAGACTGATTTTCTTTCTTTCTTTCAGAACATACATATTATTTTAGTTAATTAAATATTTATGTTTGGCTTCCCTAAGCCCTGCACATACCTAGGAGTCGGGACCCATATTTTATTAAGCCAGGTGTTGGAACCCTAGCTCTGGTTTGAGGTTTGAATTCTATAAAATTCACATTGTGTTTTCATTTTTCTTCTCTTTTGGTTGCTGAGCAACAAACATACATAAGTAGGAAAGAAAAAGAACTCATAAATGGTGACTATTAAATTTGCAAGCTTAGTACCATGCCTTCTCTTTGTTTTGCATGCCCTCTGGAACTCCTCTGCACATGCTCATCAAGGTAGGCAGTCTAATTTTTTCTCCAATAACCTTTTTTTTTTTTTTGTGCGTGTGTACATGAAACAAGCAGACTATGACAGGTTCAGGGCTAACGGTGACTACTAAAAATTTTGCATCTGCTCAAAAGGTACCTAGTCTTGTTATTATATGTGTGTGTGTGTGTGTGTGTGTGTGTGTGTGATACCCCTAATTTTAAAAGGATAGTCTCGGCATTTTAATTATTGTTTTATTTCATTTTTGTGTGATTATTTGCTTAATTATTTAATTGTTTTATTATTTATTTGATTTAATTGTTTAATTATGTATTTAAATTGTGTTATTTGATTAATTATTTTATTTAATTGAATTGGTTGTTTAATTGTTTATTTAATGGACGGTTATTTTCTTTAATTGGAAATTGTTTTAATTGTTTAATTAGGGTTTTGTTTTATTGTAGGTAGTCAAGTGTTTATATAGCCGACTTAGGTATAGAATGCATTGTTCTTTTCCCGTCTCTAAATTAAATTAGAATTAGGGTTGATATTTTTCTTAAATATAATAGTAGGTCTCTGCCAAGGGTTTTTAAAACCCTATTCACGTACTAGAGGCAGAGTGAAACCGAAAGAGACTTGAGAGAAGTAGAGAGAGGAAAACTAGGGTTGGGCTTAGACTAAGGCTGAACCAAGGAAGGATTAAAAGGGGTTGTTCGTGTGTTGAACCAAAGAGGAAGCAGAAGAGTTAGAACAGTAGGAATTACCAACAGTTTAGGAAGATGACGGTGCAAGGTTTCGAACTGAGACCTAAAGGCAAGTTCTATTCCTAACTCTCTCCCTTTGACTCGTGTTCTTTACATGCCTAACACAATTATAGGAGTAAATAAATATTAAAATTAATCTGGTTCGCATGTTAGGTTCAATTATAACAGTATCTCTTTACATGAATTGGTGTTTGCTTGTTTTTAAATTTTCTTGCATGATTCATGTTTTAATTGATGCCGATTAATGAATAAAGAATTTAATTATTTTTGGAACGCATTGGAACCTAGTTCAGACACCTAGGAACCCTAGGAATGGAGGACAAATGTTCGGATAGTCGCCGGACTTGGAGGAGATGAAGGAACGGGAGGAGAGCCGGCTCCCTTTTGAAGGGAGCAGGCTCCCCTAATCAAAGAGCAGGCTCCCTCCTTGAGGGAGCCGGCTCTAGAGGCCTTGGAGGCGGCTCCCTCTTTGAGGGAGCCTGCTCCCTTAGTTTTTGATATTTTTTTTTAGCTTCGAGCGAATGTTGGCTACTGTGAATGGATTTTCTTGGGTTCCAGACTTCAACTAGGAACTATGGTGGTAGGTTTTGGATGGTTTAGAAGGACAGGTTAAAATACAAAATGTGTACCCAACTTTACATTGTTAGAAATTTGAACAATAGGAATTTTCTTAACAAGTTATGCATACTGATTTTGGTTATGGATAGCTAAATTGCTTGGATTTATTTTAACAATTTTCTGTCAATGATTATACGTTTCTGATCATGTTTTAGTAGTATAAAATAAGCATGTATAAATCCTACACTTTATTATACTTGTTAAGAATTAATTGATGTCTATATTTTAAATGATTTATCGCATCAATTATGGGACTGGTATAAAACAGCATGTTTAAATCCTGTATTTTATTATGCTTGTTGAGGATTAATTGATGTCTATATTTTAAATTATTTATCGCATCAATTATGGGACTGGTATAAAACAGCATGTTTAAATCCTGTATTTTATTATGCTTGTTGAGGATTAATTGATGTCTATATTTTAAATTATTTATCGCATCAATTATGGGATAGGTATAAAACAGCATGTTTAAATCCTACATTTTATTGTGCTTGTTAAGGATTAATTGGTACTTAAGTTTTATTATTTGTGACATCAATTAGTGGATTTTGTGGATTGTATGCACCGGTATGGGACGATGGCATACTAGGGATGGATTAGTTCAAAACACTAAGTCCTACCTATTTTGGAATAAGGAAACGGATTATAAGAATAAAATCCTACTTATAAGCTGAACGGCTAACTGGATTTATTATAGATGGGTGGGACAGGACTTTAAATATATATTTATGATACCGCGATATGAGCTTGAGTCTCAGAGTCGACGGTTAGGGAGCGTCTATGCAGTAGGATGCGTAGCTGGCTATGTTGGTTGAGGTATATCCTGTTAGGCTTAGGTACCCATGCCCACTCAGGTGCATTTTGTATGTTGCCTTCTATTCAGGTTGAGACCTTCTTCATAGTCCAGTGACAGTCCTGTAGTGTGGATATATACATATGTATGGATTATATAGCTATTGTTGAGTTGTTTAGGATGTACATGCGTATTGAGTCATTGCTAAATTGTAGTAGGGTAGAACTTGTTCGTGAGCCTGACCCACTTCTATTTTATTAAGGTTTGTCAATTCCAAGCTTAGAGCTTGTTCGTGCTGAGCAGAGACGGTCACTCATTCTTCCGACGACGTACGATCGCTCTTATGTTTTAGTACTAGATTGCTTTTAGTTATTTCCGTTTCAGTTTGGGTTTTGATTAGGGGTCCACTAAATGGATTCCCGAGTTGTTATCTTGGAGGTTTTGGATTGGCAGATTATTATACATATTTATCTCTGGTGATTTTGGGATTATTAGATTTTAAATATTTAATTTTAAAGGATTATATTTTAGAATTCTTCCAGCTTTTAATTATTTATTTCTTATTTCAGTTTTGTAATCTGTGTTCATTTAAATATTAATTGTTTGATATTCCCTCGGGTTTAGGCTTGGACCTGATCAACCCATGTCTAGGGGTATCATAGTTTTAGCATGCTAAAAGTTATATATCTTTTATGAACTTTGATAACCAAGTGTAAATGTGATTGAACAGGAATTTTTGGACAGAATTCATGCTGCTGCTGTTGCTAGGAAAATAGGGATTGGAGGAAGGAAAATGGCAGTAGATAAAGAGAATTCAAAGATATCAGGTGCAACCCATTCTTCCAGAAAATGTTATGATCTTGAAAGGAAGGAAGATTTGGATGTGAAATGTATAGTCGGTGACAAAAGTAATATTCTCAAGAAGTTCAAATTGGCTGGTTTTGTAGCTTCAAGTGCAGATTACCATTTGCCAAGACACCACCCTCCTAAGAATAACTAATTGAGAAAAAAAAAAATGAAAAGAAAAGAAAAGCAATTGCTATGCTTGGAAGATCCCCTTTTGTTATTAGAAATGTTCTAATTAGAGCATAGTATATGGGAAATATCAAACTTGTATATATGTAATGCAAGTTTCTCAATTTCTAGAGGAATTGACTCACTATAATGCTAAAGGTGCTCTGTTTTATTAGTAAATTATGTTTTAATTCCATTCTTCAGTTTCATTTCTAAACCTAGTAGTGTGCTACTTGGTAACATATATATATATATATACCGACTCAATCAAGATGTTTATTTTCGGACAAGGTCCATTCACTAGCTTATGATTCCAATTTTTTTATTTGGCTAATTGGATGCAGGAAAGGATACAGAAGCTTCAAATACATCACTTAAAAGACCTCAATATCACTCGATTGATCAGGTCTCTCTCCCTCTCTCTCACTATCTGTCTCTTGATCTTACACACGCACTTGCACTGGTTTACATAGGTCTGCAACTCAATTTATTTTTTGTACTCAAACTGAGGGTGTTGCAAATAGATGTTTTATGCTTCTAAACATCAAAATCTTCCTTAGGAAGATGGATGCATTTGTTATGTGACCTCACTAACATTGAAATCAATGTTAATGTTTTAATGACAGAACAATAGTAACATGTTGGAGCTAAAGACATCGAAATCTGCAAGCTTGGGAATTCCAGGGACTGAGCCAGTCCACTTCTAAAACACTAAGACACACTACTGTCAAGTTTCAACTAAAGCTGGTCATGGAAATTCTTCAAAGAAACAAGTCTCTCGAGAGCCTATTGATGGTATTGCTCATACGAATGAAGCACAGAGACTTCTAAAGGCCACCCATGAGATTGTGACACTGATGCATAAGGATTATAAAGGAATGGATAAGCCAGGCCGCAAGCCACCAATCAACAACGATGAGCCTATCGACTAAAGGATTAAGGATAAATGTAGTAGTTAGGTTTAGGCTCACAATTTTGCCCCCAGTAGAAGTGAAGTCCACTGAAAATATTTATAGCTTAGCAGCTTCTTTTTGTCTTGCTTACAAGTGCTGTTTGTATTTCATTCTTTTAACTCAACACTAAGTAGTAACATATATGTTTGTATTGTAAAATATAGTCTCTTGTGAAGTTAGATATTACCATAATGCTGCTAATGCTACTAAGTTTAGTCAAAATTATAACCATCTGTGTCTCTGCATCAAAACAATGCTTTCAATTCATGGTGTTAATTTGTGATCTTTATATGAACATTAGGGTTACAATATTTGATTCATTTGTTCATACATTTTACATAATGCTGACCAACCTTGCTTGCATCAGATTATCCATAGTTGGATTGTGACAATTTCTTCAACAATCCAAGAAAGAGTGTACAAATTTTTATCTTAAAACAGATTCATCATATTCTTTTAATAATTCCCTCAGAATTCTGCTACAACCTAGAAAATACTCATATCTTGTATATTCGTTTGTACAAAAGATAATTAAATAGAATGAGGTGGTTAATTTGACTTCTCACTTTTTAACAAAATGGCAATGGATAAACTAATCAGTCCTATCTAAATTCTAAACAGAGAGGTGGAGCCCTAGAATTTCTCTTTTACAGAGAGGGTAGTGGGTGGGAGGGAGGGAGTTTGCTGCTTTGAAACAGAGAGATGGAGCCCTAAAATGTCTATTTTATAGAGAGTGTAGTCCATGCAGGTCCTTAATGACATGCAAGAAGTCAAGTTAATCTGCTTTGAAACAGACAGTTGGGGCCACATAATCTCTTTTTTGATAGCTTGTCCCAACGAACTTTCAAAATATAATAGTTTTTCAGAAGAGCTTTTGAGGCTTTAGAACACCTATAAATTATCTTATATTCACAAAGCACAAATATGAATATTTTAAATTTCTATGTCATTCCTTTTAAATTGCCTTATCATTTTGTAAGCAAAACTAACCACTTAGCTCTCTTTTGCCACAAAATCCATTAAGAAAGAGCACATAAACGCAACATCCAGAATGTCGATTACATATAGCCTTTTACATATTAACTGTAATGTAGAAAATGGTCCTTATTAGCAAAACTGGAGAGAAATGATGTACATAACGAGATTTAGGAACTTAACGCTAGAGAGTTGGCTAAGGAATTCACACGTGCGACACCGGAGTTGGGTTATGTATTGGGGACTCATGATTCTACCTTACTGGTTCTCTTTTCTTTGCAATAATTACCAAACCATAAATAGTCATCATCATGATCTCTCCATCTGCAATTTCTAGTAAGAGTTTTGTAGATCATTCCTAACAGATGGGGTTGATGAGAAAAATTTGGAGTTGTTTATTTTTATTTTTTATTTTTATAGATTTGAATCGACTAAAATTTGGATTTGAATAAAACTTTAGTTAGAATACAAGTTTTGGAAACTTATTTAATTTTTCTGTTCTGTCAATTAAGAATGTTTTGGAAACTTAATTAATTTTTCATAGGATTTACAAGTTTTTGAATTCTAAATTTCAATTATTCTTGGTGGGTGTTTTAGATAGAATATAAACATGAATTAAAAAAGCATTACCTAATAAAATTTGTGCAATAAAGTAATCCTTTTTAAGCATCTTGAGACAATTTTTTTTTTTTTTTTTTTTTTTTTTTTTTGAAAGGTTAATTCGCATCCTGAGAGTCTGAAACACTTGATAGCATGATTTCTTATTAAAACTTAGAAGACCTCTTTATTTACTTTGATACATGTCCATGACTCCATTATATTCAATTTCCTAATAAAGAATGGTCCATACCCTACTACTGTAGTACTAAAGTATGGTTCCAATAATAGATGGAAAGGTTTCAAAATTTTCATGCAAAGACAAACTACAATTTCATGTAAAACTAAAAAATTTAAGTAAACTACAATTTCATGTAAAACTAAAAAATGTAAGTAAACTACTATTCCATGTAAAACTAAAAAATTTAAGTAAAGGTATAAACAACATATCAACAACTTCTCCTCCACAACAATCAAGCAAAACCTCCACATATGATGATCCCATACTCCCATGCTTTCAACATTTTAAAACAAGAAAAAAAAATGGCCTCCACATGGGCTGATGTACCAATAAAGTAATAAAGTTCAAGGTACACTGCAAAATTGGTCACTTAAAGGCACATGACCCCCTAAGTATGAGTATAAAAAACATTAAAATTGTGCAATCATCAAAGAATTTTATCGCACATAAAGACCATACAACTTACAAATTTTGATGTATTTGATAGGCCATGCAATCGACGCTCCCACTGTTGTCTTTTCCCAGTCCCTTTGGAAGACTACATTTCAAGTACATGCAAATCAATTAAAGAAAATATAACACCAAAATACACCCTAAGTGGAGATAGTTAAATGAAAAAACTCAAAACCAATGATATGCCGATAAAGTGATGCCCTTCTTGCAAGGCCATGGTGACACAACTTGTAACAGCCAACGTTGAAATTACATGCTATGTGAGGGTTAATATTATGTGGACTAGCTCCCTTTCTTCTCCAAAAATATTGTAAATGTAAGGTTTACTAAGTTAGCTTAGTGTTGGCTTCAAGAGTTAGCATGTTTTTGTAGTCTACATAATGAACCACCTATTTTATTTCATGATGCTGCCAAATGCAAAGTAAATCACAATATCAGCACAAGTGCAAAACAGTAAATTAGTGAGGGCCATGATAACAATTCTGCCTGCAGAAAAAAATTATAAATAACAGCAACCTCTTTTGTTTCTATACCAACCATTTATATCTACGCACCCCCATAATGCAAATTGCAATTGTTTTCAAGCTGAGAAGGCTGTAGTAATCAACAAAAGGCATCAGCTGGATATCTCCATATACTTGAGCTTCTCTCCACAGCTCGAGATTGACTTGTCTATTCGTATTCTGCCAGTAGGAAAAAAAATGAAATAAGAAATAGAAAGAAACAGAAAAAAAATAAACAGTCCAGCTGTTACCCAAAAAAATTTCAGGCAAAGTGACTATTGTCAATGAACACAACTAGAAGGGGTGCTTCAGAAGGATAATTCTATCACCAAGAAACCTTTTTCCCCTTTCTTTCTTTTTTATATGATAGGGAAATATAGTGGAGACATTGTGTAATAATAAAAAAAATATTATATATTCTGTTTATTGCTTGGAGTAATGCTAAAAAAATAGCTAAAGCTCTAGCTACCAAGCATTAGAACACAGGTTCAAGTCTGAGGGTGTATATTTTTGTGCAAAAAATAGGCCAGTACATGAACTTTAATCATGGTCTTAAACTTAACTTATTCAACCATGATAATGCACATGATTTAAATAAACAAACTATGACTTTCAAATAAAATTATACTAGTCATTGACTCGATGGATGTTGGCTGACTAGATTTTAATGCATTTATATATATATATATATATAACTACGGCAAGACACATATTTTAAGGAGTTAAACCATAGCATCTAAATTAAATGGTTATTCCAATCAAAATGTGAACATGGCAAAAATAGTATTGTAGTAGTAGTAGTAGTAATAATAATAATAATAATAATAATAATAATAATAATAATAATAATTTGTAATGAAACTTACAAATAAAATTATACTAGTCATTGGATTTCAACACATGCCTTCACTCTAGATTTATGCATATAACTTCTAACTAATATATATAAATTTATAATCCAAATTAACATAAAAACATACTTCATCCGCAATAAGTCAAAATATAATGACACTTGCATGCATACTTAGATAAATGGCATTGCCTCCATGGTCTCGTTACAAACCACTAAAATGTAAAATAAGAAATTATGATATGTGATTTAATAGGAACTCCAAAAGATAAAGGGGTGGGTTTCTAAATCTTTTCCTTCCTCCAAAAATACATACAAACATCATAAAAGAATGTTGTCCATTAATACACGTGAATTCAAACTAAGCAATAGCTATTACATAGCAAGTCATCGTCAAGAGGTCTCAAAAAAATCATCAAAGCCTAATCCTTAATTGAGCTAGTCCACATAATATTAACCCTCACATAGCATGTAATTTCAACGTTGGCTGTTACAAGTTGTGTCACCATGGCCTTGCAAGAAGGGCATCACTTTACCAGAGAGTGGCTGTGTACAAGTTAGCAGTTGCAGAGAGAGGGCTTGAGAGTTGAGAGACAGCGGACCAGAGGCTGAAGCTTGCGAACGGCGAACCCAAACTGGAATAGCGGGCGATGGAAACTGAAGGATATGGGTTTTGATATTTTGAACAATCTGAAATGATATGTCGATATGGGTTCTGATTCTTGTAGATTTTGTAGTTTGCAGTTGCAGAGACAGAGAGAGGGCAAGTTCAGAGTTGAGAACTAGAATAGAGATAGAGGCGATTTCAAGTTTCCATTGTAAACAGGGTATCATTTTCCATTTGTTTGCCAGGAAACATGAGAAGGGGAAACAGAAAGTACAAATCAAAATTTAAATCTTATGCCTTTTATTATTTTAGGATGTTAGAAAAACGAAAAGCCCATCTCAATCAAGCTAAATATAGTTTAATAAACCTCGAATTACCAAAGATACATAGTTGGGTACCAAATGAATGAAACCCTAAAATGCGAATTTTCAATTCATTTTCTTTTCCACATTTTCCCAGCAACCAAACGAGCAATAACATTCAAGAACAAAAGAGAAACAGCATTCAAAGATTAAGAGTCACTAGTCTTACCTTCACGTTTATCCTCCTGCGGAGAGAACTCTTCAATCTCTTCATCGACACTACGCCACAACTCCCGCTTTTGGGTGGCCGATGTGGATTCGGTGGTACGACCTCGCCGGAGACGCTTGAGGGTTTGTGGGTGATTCAAAATCATCATCGTCGTCGTTATTCAAAATCATATCTGATATGCCGATATGGGTTCTGATTCTTGTAGATTTTGTACTTTGCAGTTGCAGAGACAGAGAGGGCCTAGTTGAGAACGAGAATAGAGATGGAGGCGATTGCGGAGGGCTGAAATGATTTGCCCTAATACATGTGAGTAAATATACTTTGGTATATGTTCGCGCGGTTTTTGTTCCCTACGCCGGTCGATGGTTATTTGTACAAAATACCCAAAATATGTAATTGAACACCAGCCTATCCCTTTTTCTGATGGCTGACTCTCAGGCGATTGTGTGGAAGAGAGACTAGTAAGAACTCCCAGCAATGTTCTTTTATGCCTTGTTTGTAGTAAGGACTTTTTAGAGTGTCTAAAGAAATGTAACGGCTGATGAATGTTTGATTGGATGGAATGGCCGAGTGAAGGCAGGCGGCAAGAACTTAATCGATCGCCGGCCGAACGTGATGGCGAGAACTTAATCAATCGCCATCAGCCAAACACAATGGCAAGAATTTAATCGATCGCCACTGAAACGTGATAGCAAGAATTTAATCAATTGCCATCAGCCAAGTAATGACAAGAATTTAATCAATTGTCACTACGATTCAATGGCAAGAATTTAATCAATTGCCATTGAATTGAAAGCCTAACTAAAATTGCGTAATTAAAATTGGCATAATTGAAATTGAAAGAAAGTAAATGGCTGAATTGAAATAGTTGACAATGATCTAATCAATTGCCATTAAATTGAAATAAAGAAATTGATAGGAAAAAATGACGTAGAGTCAATTGAAAACATTTTTAGTTGAAATGCATGTTTTGTGGTGGTGCTGGACAAATTGGAATAGGAATACAATACTTCTATTTATAGAAGTTCTATCTCAACTTATTTTCCTAAGTTATTGCTAGAAAATCTCTCCTTTGATTCTTTTCTTCACAATTTGAACTCAGTCAAATCCTATTGTTATTCTGCTTCCTTTCTTGTTTTGTTTCAGTAGGAAATCTCTGTAAAAACAATCTTCCTCGATTTAATCACATGTAAGTTGCCGAGATATTGCTAAAACGTTGCTAGAAAGTTGCTAAAAAGTTGCTAAGTTCTAGCAACTTCCTTTTATAAACTTGGCAGCCGTGTTCTATCCCAAGTGGCCCATCCTTTAGCGCCATGTCAAGGCCACTTGTCACAATTAGATTTGTTCACTTCATGCTGCCAACCTTCTATACATGTCTTCAAAGCTTTCCTTCTTTCATCAAACTAAACTTCCTATTTTATAGGAATTTAGTTATTGAGTTTCATCCAAACTCTAGCCTTTTCCTTTTCTGTTAACATCCCATTTTGAAAAAAGTCAAATGTCAGTTGCTATATTTCAGCAACTGCCATATCATTAGGTGGCTGAAATATATCTTTCTATATTTGCTCCTAATATCTTCAAACTGGCCGATCCATTCTTGGACATGCTCAACCCTTATCGACTTCCCATTGGTCCACGTCGCTGCTGAAGTGGCTGCCATGTTTTGGTGCCAACAAATGCCCCCTGAATTTCAAAGGCTTTTATCACTTATGATACGAAGCGTTTGGAATTTGAATCGGCCTAAAATTGTAATTCAAATTTTAGTAATAAATCCTTTTCCCAACCACCTGCTTTAATGGTTATCTTTCCCAATTAAAGCGGCGACTACACTAATCCGCTATTACATCCAACAAGTATTTAGCTTGATACCCTCTAATCCCTAAAATCATTCTTCTTTCCTTAAACTTTCTATCTCTGAAATTCTTTCTCGGCGAAATCGTTCCTGATGTCCTCTATGGCTCCTAAGAAAACTAAATCAACTGATTCCACCTCTATCCCTCAACCTACCGATCCTTCAACTCATGGCAACATCATAGAAAAATCCCTAAAAACTCTATCTCCTTACAAATACTGTCTCAATACCCTTATCGATCTTCGTATTGACTTCAAAGGCTTAGGTCCTGCTTTCCCTGATGAAGCTCCTTCATCAATCTCACCTTTCTATCCTTTGGCCGACGTTCTTCCATTCCTTCAAACCTTCCCTACTAATGAAAATGGCAGTTTGCCACACTTTCATTTTAGAACATGGTATAGCCCAAATGATGCTTGGATCAATTGGGTCGACCGAGTTGGAGCTGTGAAGGGAGAAATATGGAAGGATTGTGGCATATATGATGCCATTCAGCTAAGTAAAACTAACATCGCCCAAGACAGAGCCTTGATGATAGCAGCCATGTTTAATTGGTCGACCACCACCAACTCCTTACACTTGAAATGTGGCATGATGGCTCCAACCATTCAAGACGTGTGCTATCTGACCGGCCTCAAACCCTTTGGGATTGATGTAAGTACCTTATTGGTTGAAAAGGATTCTCCTTTCATCTTCCCTTCAAAGCAAACTGGAACCAAATCATCTGAATCCTCTTATGGCAAATACTTAACTTCTACCATGGATCCTCGCGTCCTTGTGAATGATGCTGAACATATTGCCTTCTTGTTGGCGTGGATGAACAAGTTTCTTCTATGCGTACCGGCCTTTCAAGTCACAAAGGATTACATTCATGTGGCCGTTGCCCTTTCAAGAGGTAAACACCTTGCTCTTGCCCCCCTGGTGCTTTCTCATTTATATAGAGGGATTTATGACTTGCTTACCTCCAACTTCGGACGCTATGGTGGTCCCCTCTGGTTATTTCAAATTTGGCTTCAAGTGTACTTTCCTGAACTCGGACCTGTGGTAAGGCCTTCGGCCAATGACCCATTACTTTCTGTAAGTTACGCATCAGCCGTACCTAAATCCCATTCATTTGGAGATTGCTTCAATTTCTTTTACTCCGGTTGTGAACAGAGGACTATCAGCCAATTCCTTCCATTTTCTCATTGCTCACAAGCTCCTCGATGGCTGACTCCTCCTCAAGGAGTGTCTACCAAAAAATCAGCTGATAAGCATTCGGCCATGTGGGCTAGTTTCTTACTTCCAAGAGACCTTCACTTCAACACTGGCCCTCTAGGCACAGTAAACTCAAAAGTTGGAGTTGAGTTCTACAATCCAAACCAACTTGCTAGGCAATTTGGTCTGACTCAAATGATCCCCATGCCCCCTTATTTCTCTTTCAACAAAAACTTCCATAGGCGTGTGGTATTTCCAGATGACTCCTATGTAAAGAGCGTGTCCTCCCGGTTCTCAAATCTGCAAGCCGGGTTCCAATTCCAACCCTTCATCAAAAACCCAGCCTCAGATTCTAGTTTTGATCAATGGTGGTCTTCTTACATTACTTCTACAAGGACGGCTGATAGCCAGTCCCTTATTGTTAAAATATTGGAATCTTTCAAGTTCATATATGTGGCCATTGAAGGGGCATTCGTAATTTCCCGGGCCGTTACCCCAAAGAAGATGCCTCAAAAAGATCCTCCCAAAGATAAAAAACAAACGGCCAAGAAACTCCCTTTCTCTCAGCCAACAGATGCTCCAACAAGGACCAATAAAGAGAGAAAAGCTAAGGCCAAAGCCACTGTCAGCCTCCTCAAGGGTACGATCTTCCTTTATTTATATACATATATATATATATATATATATATATATATATATATATATATAAACTTTTAATTGAAATTCTCTTACCCCCCTCTTTTTTTTTTTTTTCGCAGATTCAGACAGTGGAACTTTATCAGCCTCGCTTAATCCAGAAGACGTTGAGCCCCAAGATGATGAGATTTCCTCCAGCCAACCTCCTTAGCCTTCAATAACTGAATCATCCATCATCCCTGATGTTCCTCCAATTCCTCCAAAGGTAAATTTTTTTTTTTATCTATTAACATACAAAGACAATCATATCGGCTCAATTGTTAGCCAATATTGATTTCTAATTCTCGGCCACAACTATTATTGGCCGAAACAAACTTTAATAAAGCTTCCATCTCCAGGGGAAAAGAAAGAAATCAACTGCTCATGGCACTTTAAAAAGAACAAGATTGAGCAAACGTAAGAAACAGGAAGTGGAAGAAAATCTAGAAAACCCTCATCCTACAGAAGACGTGGCCGATGATCCCGTAATTAATGTGACTGACACTCCTTCTGATCATTCCTCAGATGAAAAAGAGGTAAAGATAACTGTACTTGAAATTTCCAAACTTTTCAATTAATATGGTCCTTAATTTCTTCTCTTTTGCAGCAATCTCCTCTTCTTGACTTGGTCTATAGCCCAGTTAGAAATTTCAGCCCTCTGAAGGATTTTCATGATCCCATTGAGGTGCCCTTCAATGTTCAAGTCACTCCTGCTAAAACTTCATCCCAGGGAGATAGCACAGCGGTTCAGCCAGAATTTCCTCCTCCAGAAACCAGTCATCAGCCACTCTTAGTGACAAACATAGCCGAATCATCTAAGGTATTGACTATCTCATGTCCCAAAAAAAAAAAACTTAAGATCTAATCTTTCCTCATTTTGTCAGGTTGTGTATGAGAAAACTCAAATTATTCCTAAATTTCCTCCACAAAAAGTTCCTGCTTCATCTCTATTGGCCTTGAGCAATTTTTTTAAGGATGTAGTGGCTTCAGTGACCGAAGAGAAAGAAAGTGAATCTTCTGGAGCCACCCCAGTCACTTCAACCAATATCCCTATACAATCCTTAGAAGAGACCAAAAAATCTTTACTTGAGATCTTGAAAAGGGATGCTGCTGATCTTCCTAATTTTGAAAGTGAACTCACAGCAGTGCTTTTTACACTCAGCCAGTACCCAGACTTTCCGGTTGATCTTCAAGCCACTATTGCTACCTTTAAAGGCCAGCTACCAACTCTGACCGATGATATTTTCCAAGCCAATGAAGCAATCAACCAATTCAACAAGAGTAAAAACAGGAAGAATACCCTTGCTAACCAATTGTTAATTCAAGCTTCCTCCTTTGAAAGAGTGGATACAGAGTTCATCGGCCTTGAGGAAAGAGAACATGTCCTTCAGAAAGAGATTGACCAGATCCATGCTCGTAAGGCCATCTTGTCTGCTGTAGCTGCCACATTGCAGTTTGAAGCTCAAGACCTTGCTCACGAGCATGCAAATCTTCGAGGAGAATTACCTCAATTGGAAGAGTCAAAGAGGCAGGCCATGGTGGCCTTCAATCGATCCTTAGTTATTTGGGCCGATTTCAAGGAAAAATTTGCAAACATACGAATTTTTTTTTTTATATTAGCTTCCTTTTGTGGCCATCTTAGTGTATGATCTTTAAATGATGTAATCTTTTACACTTCAATGAATAAATGGCCTTTTTTGTTACTCCAAACAAACATCAACATTCTAGCGAGAAAGAATTTATTAAAATAACCAAATCAGCCTAGAAAACTAGGCCGATTTTTATTACATAAAGGTACACATGGTCAGCCATAAGTACTGGCTAACACTAATTTTCCCTTTCAAAGATTGCCGGTACGTACCTCTTGAGGTACTTGCCATTAATGGGTTAGTCATGTAATCGGCCACTGAAATATTTCAGCCTATATGCTCCTCCACTTAAGACTTGATGGACTAAGTATGGCCCTTCCCATTTTTGGGACCACTTCCCATATTTCCTATCGACTTTACCCACTGGCAAAACAACTTTCCAAACCAAATCTTCTTCAGCAAAAGACTTAGGTTTTACCCTCTTGTTGTAGATCCTCATCACTTTCTTCTTGTGAGCTATGATATGATCCAAAGCATCCCTTCTAAATTCATCCAAATCTTCCAATTCTACCAACATTGCTTGAGTATAATCAGCTGGAGTTAGATTATTTTGAAAAGCAACTCTGGCTGATTTAACCTTCATCTCCATAGGCAGAACAGCATCATGACCATAAGTTAACATGTATGGTGTAACTCCTGTGCCTGTTCTTTTTGAGTTCCTATAGGCCCATAAAGCTCAGACAAAGTCTCATGCCACCTTCTTGGCTTATCTTTGATCATTTTTTCAATGATCTCAATTAGAATCTTATTTGAAGATTCGGCCTGGCCATTTGCTTGAGCATAGTATGGCGTAGAGGCTGACATATGAATATTCATGTTGTGGCCGAATTGTAGTACATCAGTTGCTTTAAATACTGTTGCATTGTCTGAAACAAGTGTTTCTGGAATCCCAAATCTGTGGATGATGTTTTGCTCCATGAAATTAATCACTGTTTGCTGATCAACCGCTTTGCAAGCCTTGGCCTCAACCCATTTAGTAAAATAATCTGTGGCAACAATCACCCAGTGATGGCCTTCGCTTGATGGTGGATTAATTTTACCAATAAGGTCAAGGCCCCAACCTCTGAATGGCCAAAGTTTGATTATTGGCTGTAATTCTTTTGCTGGTACATTCTGAATCGGCCCGTGTCTTTGACAAGCTTGACAACCTTTTGAGTAATCTATGCAATCTTTTCTCATTCTCGGCCAATAATATCTGTAACACCCCCAAATTTTCCACGCATAAGTTGATCAGGCTTATACACAAAAAACGAGGGATATCAAAAACAATTGGCAATATACAAGCATGGAATACAAAATGATGATAATAAAAGAATTTAGACAGGAAAGGAACACTAAATAATACAACATCCATCCATCCTTTATTTAAATACAGTACTCCATTACAACTTGGAAATCCTATGTCAAGGATCCCTAAATATAAACCTGAGAGTTCAACGTCAAAAGTAAATAAAAACTGAAGCTGAAGTAATACGTAAAACTTCTACCCTGAACTGGATCGTAAGAGTAGATGAGTTTGGATGGTGGTCCCACACTGCTAACCTCAACCTTGGAACGGGTACTGACCGTATCCTGAAATAACAACAATGGTGGGTCAACCCCACGAGCAAGTCCTCTCTACTATGACCCAAATCAGAGAATCAAATAAATTAATCATTATGAATCGGATGAGTACTATATCTGTATACATCCTACGGGAACTATCCGATGTATAACATGACCTCAACCAGAATAGACGGTGATCACTTAGACTCACACTAGGTGGTCAAGTGTCGCCTTTCCCTACCCGGGAAATCAGCTATTATACATGGTGCACGGTACTGACAACACAGACTATAACGAACTACACAGTGATAACACCTCTCAAAGTACTGATGAATATACTGAGCATATCAATTAGGCAACACATGCCAACAATATTAATAAATATACCGAGTATGTCAATTAGGCAACACATGCCAATAATATTAAACCACATACCCCGACAGCCACACATCTGTCTATCGCAATGAATGCATAAGGTATAAATGAGTCTAAACTTATTAGCCAGCTCACATGGTTCTATATGGCAACTCATCCATATAATATAAATGTGACATAATTAAACAGTCCATTTATTTCCTGAAATGCACACAGCATAATAATCATGGTTTATATACGATTAACAGTATAAATATTCCATAATATATAATGGGTTATTTATATGAATAAAACCAAGCACTAATTAATTTAACATTAATGGTTATTACAGTTTAATAAAATAATACCATTAATAGTCGTTAAATTAATTACATATGTTTACTAGCGATTCGCACTTTAACTGATACAATTAATATTTAGAAATATTAATCGGACAATTATAATAGTTGACGAGAAATAAAATAATAATATAATGTCCCGTTAATTCTAAAAATGCCAACCCGAGGCCCCAAAATGTATAGTGAAGGTCCTGGTAATGACAAAACAGTCCCTAGGGGTATTCTGGACTTTTCCAGCAGCTGCAGAGGCCCTTCACGCGCCCCCACGCGCCTCTCAGAGCTCCCCACACGCGCCGCCAAGCTTTCCCACTCTCCCACGCGCCTCCACGCGCGTCTGGCATCAGCAACGCGCGCGCACGCGCTCCCACGCGCGTCTGGAGCGTTCCACGCGCGCGCACGTGCTGCCACGCGCGCACTAATGGTACCTTGCTGACGCGACGGCTCCTGATTCGGTGGTTGCATGGACTTGTTGTGGGTGCGCTACACTGGATAATTCTATCTTAGTTCTTCTAATCCAAGGGTCCTGGTTCGCGCGTGCACCATTTTATGGTGTATTGGACTACACCGAATCAATCTGCTGATTAGTTACTCATCTAACGGCCGGATATCCATGCGCACAGTAACTATAGTGCGCCGTATCACACCGGATTACTCCGGTCATCTCCCCCACTGCCGGCGACCGGAAAACTCGCCGGAAGGTCGCCGGAAATTGCAGAAAAGCCCCGGAAAAATCTAGAAAATTCTAGAAAAATCCCTAACGCCTTATTTAATTATTTTCGGCCATTATTAATTTCATAGGATATTAAATAAATATATACCATCCTATATAATTAAAATTTCATTAATTTAATAAAATAACATTAATAATTTATTAACCTCCTAACCTTGGCTCTATGCATAAAAATAAACTAAACAATTAATTTATTAATTCAAAGGGGAAAAGTAGATAATAACTTGCCTTTTTGGATTTAAAATAAATCCGCCGGTTGCGCGTAGTCGGGTAAATTCCCTACACCGGTCCAAACTCCTTTCTTTCTCTCTCTTCCTTTCCACACTTTTACAATGGCTCACTAGAATTTATAATTTGTGTTTAACTCCCTTTCTTTCCTTCTAAGGTAGGCTAGCTAATTTATATACAAATTATATAATATAAATATTACAAATATCTATTTTTGTATTTAATTAACCACATTCCCAACCATATGGCTTTAAGTCTACCCATACACATTAATGAAATTCTATCCTAATCTCTAATTTCATCATGACATTGATTTTAATACTATTATTATTATTATAACTATTATTATTATTATTACTAATATTATTATTAATAAACTTTTATAATTATTATTATTATTAAACTAATATAATTATTATTATTATTATTACAAAATAATACATTATATCATCATAATACTTTATAACGCAAATATAATACTTTTAATTAACTAATAATGATTAATATAGGCATAACCAACAAATAAAATTATTAATAATAATACATGCATAATTAAATGAATAAATTTACTATTTTAACATACACAATTAATTTACATGCACATTTAAATGAACTTAATATAATAATGTAGCATGCACAATAATAAGTAAAGAAATCCTCACATAATTGAATTTTTTAAATAAACTAAACTCTTTAATAAAATACGGGGTATTACATTCTCCCCCCCTAATAACGGAATTTCGTCCCCGAAACTCACTACATACCTGTATTAAAAAGCTCTGGATACTTGGCACGGATAATATCTTCCCGTTCCCAAGTAGACTCTGTAGCACTATGATGACTCCACTGTACACGTACTAATGGAATAGTCTTCGTGCGCAGTATCTGATTCCTACGATCGAGAATACAGTAAGGTTGTTCCAAATAGGTTGCATCGGGTTGTAACTCAATCTCACCCACATCAATGTGTTGGTATCGATCTTCTTCCCGTAGAAATTTTCGCAGCATAGATACATGAAAAACATTATGTACCCTATGAAGATTATCTGGTAGAGCCAGACGATAAGCTACTGCCCCAATCCGATCTGTAATCATAAAAGGACCCACAAACCGAGGCGATAACTTACCCTTTGACCCAAACCGCATTACTCCCTTCATAGGAGAAACCTTAAGCAAAACCTGATCACCAACCTTAAACTCCAAAGCACGAGTTCGACGGTCAGCATAACTTTTTTGTCTGCTTTGAGCTGTACGCATCCGATCCCTAATGATAGCGATCTTTTCTGACGTGTCCTTAATAAATTCAGGACCCAAAAAGCTGTTCTCACCAACTCCAAGCCAACAGACAGGAGACCTACACGGTCTACCGTACAAAGCCTCAAATGGTGCCATACCAATAGTTTTCTGATAACTATTGTTATAAGCAAACTCTGAAAGCGGCAAATATTCCTCCCAATTGCCCTTAAAATCAAGAACACATGCCCGCAACATGTCTTCTAAAATCTGATTAACTCGCTCAGTCTGTCCATCTGTTTGAGGATGATAAGCAGTGCTAAGATAAAGTTCTGTACCCAAAGCCTGCTGAAAGCTCCTCCAAAATCCTAATACAAACTTCGGATCTCTATCTGATACGATGGACAATGGTACTCCATGAAGTTTCACCATTTCTGCAATATACAGTTTAGCATACTGTTCTGACGTAAAGTTTGACCGAACAGGCAGAAAGTGAGCGGACTTGGTCAATTTATCAACAATGACCCAAATAGAGTTGTGATTATGCTGTGAAGTAGGTAATCCCTCTATGAAGTCCATGGAAATACTCTCCCATTTCCACTCTGGTATGGGAAGTGGCTGTAACGATCCTGGCGGTCTCTGATGATCAATCTTAATCATCTGACAGGTGCTACATTTAGAGACAAAGATAGCTATATCTCTTTTCATGCCGGCCCACCAAAACTGGCGTTTCATGTCCTGATACATCTTGTCTCCCCCTGGATGTACAGAGAACTGAGAAGTGTGTGTCTCTCTCATCACAACATTTCTCAAATTATCAGCTGAAGGCATAATTAAACGTCCCTTGTACCTCAATCCTCCATCGGTCCCTATAGAATAAAAAGGAACATCTCCGGAGGCTAACTCCGAAACCCGATCAATACACTGTTGATCTGAGAGTTGCGCTTGAATGACCTGATGAATGATAGAAGGAGTTACTACCACACATGCCATAAAAGCGTCTGCTAACTCATCAACAGTCTTCAAAGCATCCCACTCTGTTGCAAACAAAGCTGAAAGGCTGACATAGGGTCGGCGACTGAGTGCGTCTGCTACAACATTCGCCTTCCCTGGATGATACTGTATAGAGAAGTGATAGTCTTTCACGAACTCCAACCATCTGCGCTGTCTCATATTCAGTTCCCTCTGTATGAACAAATACTGTAGACTTTTATGATCGCTAAACAATCGAAAAGTCTCCCCCAAAAGATAATGTCTCCAAATACGCAAGGCAAAAACCACTGCTGCGAGCTCTAGATCGTGAGTCGGGTAATTAAGCTCATGAGGCTTAAGCTTCCTAGACCCATAAGAAACTGGTCGCTCTTCTTGCATCAACACACAACCCAAACCCTTCAGAGAAGCGTCGGTAAATACTAAATACTCGATTCCACTCTGAGGTGTGGCTAAGACAGGTGCATAAGTTAACTTACTCTTCAATTCAGCAAAAGCAGTCTGACAAGAATCATCCCATACAAATGGTACATTCTTCTTAGTCAGATGAGTAAGTGGACCCGCAATTTTGGAAAATCCCTGGATGAACCTGCGATAATACCCCGCCAATCCCAGAAAACTACG